ATATCCCAGTTTAACAGTGTTCCCCTTTTTCCTCTTTTACAACTACATCCTGCCTTAGGATTTATATTGCTCAATAGAAATTCCTTTCTACCTACATACAGGTTGACTAAATCAAAGCGTTTGCTTTTGATGAGAAATTCTCTGAGTGATAATAATAGACAACCATGTTTCCGCTAGTAAATTATAAGTAAAATCTGTCTTTGATGAGCTTTTTAGGTTGAAGGCCTCCTAGCCATCACCCTAATATGCAGCATTACTTTTACTTTCAGTTGGTTAAAAAAAAAAAATTACACAAAGGGTAAAATTAAAAGATCCCTTCATACCGAAATCTGTCAATTTCCATATTTCTGGTATCAACAGTATTTTTTATGTAGCGCTAATTTAAAATAAAAAAGGAAAGATTAAATCTGTCAGGATTCAGAGATGTTAGGATTCCTGCTCCAGTTCGCATCAGCATCATGTAGTATTAGTGTAGTATTAGATGTAGTATTAGAGGCCCACACCACCATTGTGTAAAATATGGAGGCCTCTCAAATTTTAGCTTTTCAACATAGAATTAGTCCATGTTTTATCTATGAGGATTTAACTGCTCTGTGCGTAAATGCTATTCTAAGGACGTACTGTTATGTAACTTGAAATCTATAAGTATTATAGAGTTTGAGTTATGTAACAACATGGCATATTGCTCTTAAAAATCCCTTTTGGAAAGACGGGAGGATATTAAATTCTGATTTGCAATATCTGTGGTGTTTGGTGTAGGCACTGAGAAAAATACCACTGCAGCTGATGAAATATATTGATATGCAAAGCAAACATCTGGATGGAGCTGTTGCTGATTTGTTTAGTTAAAAAGATCCATGGAGGTTAACAGATGTTTGTGTTGACAGAGGACACTAAAGAAGCAGATTTATTTTTTTTATTATTGAGTTTGTTTTTCTTTTCCCTCTGATAGCCAGATTTGATGTCCTGCATAATGTTCATCTTGTTTGTAATCCAGTGGAAAAGAGTTTAGAGAACAGAGAGATTGCTTTAAATTAATTTCAGATGTCCCATTCACCTATCCATCATTCCTTCATCCCTCTCAATCTCATCCTGGGTATCGGATCTTTCTTGCAAAGTGTACAAACTCAATGCATCCTTTTCTGTGTTGCCAATCATATCTCAAAGATATTTTGATAGACATTTTCTGTCTAACATTGAGGAAACATCGCTATTATACATTGTGCTTTCAAAAAACCTCCAACTTCTCTTTTAAAATGAACAAATTTAACTTTAGTACTTTTTTAGGGTTTCTGGTTGAAAGAATATTTTCCTCTTAAATTTACCCAGTTGTGGTGTTTAAAATGTCAAAGTTTAACTGGCGTTCTTGTTTTCCAGGCTTTGGTGGATGTTGGAGACAAGCAGGCGTCCTTTGTGGGGTCCCGTCAGTGGATTGGATCCATTGAGGTTCAGGCTGTTCTAGACCAGCTGCTTGGAGTCACGTCGAAAATCATGTTTGTGAGGTTGGGTTGCGTTCCTTTACACAGCCTCTTAGAGAATATTCCTCTTCAATGTTGTAGAATAATCAACTTTCTTCTGTCATCTTCAGTCAGGGATCTAAATTGGCTTCCAAGGGAAGAGAACTGGCCAATCACTTTCTGTCTGAAGGAACCCCTGTCATGATTGGTGAGCTGATACATTAAAACCACATTAGTTTGAGTCTCTTAATGCAATGTTTGTTTTAAATCCTGAAATCCCAGAAATAAGTATTTTGTTCAGTTAAAATGTGTTTAAATTTATGAAAAATATTATTTAGAAACCCCAGCTAAAGTTTTTAAATATTTCTCTTTTTATTTTCTGTTTTATAGGTGGGGGAGTTTTGGCTCACACTATCCTGGGCGTAGCTTGGAGTGAGACCACTGGTGAAATCCGCTATCTCATCCTGGATCCACATTATACCGGAGCAGAGGATCTTCAGGTTATTACAGATAAGGTGAGACGGCCAGCAGATTTCTCAGCTAATTTGATAAGAATTGATATGCAGGTCCTGATTTTTATTTGAATGTTGTCTTCCACAGGGCTGGTGTGGCTGGAAAGGACCAGACTTTTGGGATCAAACTGCATATTACAACCTGTGTTTACCCCAGAGGCCAAGAGTGATTTGAGCTGAAATAGACTTTCAGATGAATTTCACTTAACAATGGTTAAAGGCTGAAAATATAACTCCAGGTTTCTTACCGGTAATTTAAACTGGATTTGCCAAGCTAGTCATCACATAACCAGAAATGCATTTTGTCTATTTCTGTTTCAAAGAATTGTCTCATTTGTTATGGATACTGATGTGCTCTCTCAAATAGTCATTAAAGATATAGCTTTACCTTAGATCTTTGTGAGATTATTTGGTAATCTGGGTAAGTTCCTGTGAGTAGAGGTTTAGGAAGTTAGTTTATTTCTGCGACGCAAGAATAGGACTGCTTTCTGTTATATTTCTTTACCTGTACTAATTGCTATAATACTGGGATGCCTTTATACAGTCGGTGAGGTTCAGTTTTAAAAGTTGTTTAAAAGTTAATTTGTAGATATTTGATTATTGTAGACCAGACTCACTGATTAGCAGACCCAACCTGATTTAAAACATTTATAAATTACTGCATGTTGTCCAACGTCTGTATCTAACTTCAAATTTCTAATATGGTAAAGCCTTCCGGAGCGTCTGGACCAGGCTACATGTGATACAAATTAGCCAATGAACTGTCAATGTTGCGAGCCACTTTTAGACACAGCAGGCAAACCTGTGGCAAGCCGGGCGATGGGAAAGAAGGAGAAGATGGGAAAATGAAAGCAGAGAAAGTGTAGACTTTGAAGAACCGCTGTGAACTGGTGAAAGAAAAGTGAAATGTGTGTTCAAAGATGACCCTGCACATTTTGAGTATGTTTGGCTCAACCTGCTGCTGTGAATCCGGATTCTCCACCATGACCATGATCAAATATAGAGATCCAGGCTCACAAATGAGCACCTTGATATGTGTTGAGAATGTCTTTGTTGCCAATCAAACCCAGGTTTAAAGGCTTGCAGGGCAGCCTAAAGCCCACTGCTCTCATTAAGCTATAAAAAAATAAATAAATAAAATGACAAATGCTCAGTTCAGGTGTTTTATAAAATATTGTCTATGTACAAAACTGAACGATTGTTGTTCTCTACTTAAAAAAAACACCTTAGATTAAAAAATGGAAAAGTGTTCCATTTAGTTTTATATATTTATTAGTTAAAAATTAAATGTATAACATGGATGCATAAACGCCTCATTTTATTTCAGTGTTTATTTCTGTTTAAATTAACAGATTATAATTAAAAATGTCTTCGGATCTTTACTGGTTGATGATTTTCTTTATTCGGACCCCACTGATTTTTAATTGGTTACCTCTGTTATAGACCATAGGGTGTCTGAAAGCATTTTTGAATTAAACATATCCATGATTTAAATTATCCCAGTCAAGCTTCAGACTTCAATCAATTTATGTGTGTAGCTACAGTGGGACTGAACTTGAACTATTTTGCAAAAGAAAATCCCTGCGATGAAACACATCAACATGTGTGGATGCTTTTCTTGTTCAACAGTCTGTTTCAAGACCTGAAACATGATGTCCACTGATCCTCTCAAATCTGCCTTACTTAGCTTAACCAATTGCATAAAAGTTTGCAAGTTCTCAAAGTGCATGTAGGGGTTATATTCAGGCACTTTCCTCCCACAGTCAAAAAACATGACAGTTAGCTTAATTATTTACTGTAAATTGCTGTTAGGTAGGTTGTGTGTGCATGGTTGTGTGTATGTATATATATGTATATATATATATATATATGTATATATATATATATATATATACATATATATATATACACACACACACACGTGTGTTGCTCTGAGATGGACTGACAGCCTGTCCAGAGTGGATCCTGCCTTTCACACATAGACTGCTGATGGGCACCGGCCTCCTTGACAGACAAGCGATATAAGATAGATGATGGAAAATTTCCTTGTTCAATCAGAGTTCCATTTCTAAGAGCTTTGAACCTGATGCAAAAATGTTCTTCAGTTAGTCGCCATCTCTACCTTATGTCTTTGGGGTTTTTTTCTATGATGGTCGTCCATCAGGTTTTAGGCGCAGATTGCCCTAAGTGCAGTTGACATAACACATTGGTAGCTCATGACCATGCATCACATTAGTGTTTAATAAAGAGTAGAACCACGACAATGTCAGACTTCAGGGGACGTTACGTCAAATAATTACCTTTATTGTTGAATGAGATGCTCCCAATGTTCTCTGGGGTGATGGATTTATTAGAGGAAAAAAATACTAGTGTTTTGCATATCATGTTTTTATTATTTATTTAAACCTTTTTAAGGAAGGTCTGATTTCAGTGTATTCAATAGAGCAATTCCACATATGTCTTTTATAAAGCTTTTCTAAGACATTGGAGAAAATGGTCAGTACTTTTTCTAAATTTGTTTATCAGGTATGAATATAGCATCATGGTAGACAGAAACATCTTGCACAGATTTTTAAAACGGGAAAAAATATCCTAGACATTTGTTCTTAACACAAATATAGCCTTATTGGCCCATTATCTAAAAAGAAAAAGCATTTAAATGATAACTACGGAGGAGGATTAGGGCCACTGAAAAAAAAAGAGTTAACTGATTTTAAAATTGTATATATATATATATATATATATATATATATAAGTAAGAATTCTGACTTTAATCTCAGAATTCTGAATTTAATCCCACAATTCTGAATTTCCCCATATTATTCTGAAATAAAATGTAAAAATCAGTTACATTTTTTCTTTCTCTTCATTAGATATCTATTCTATTCTAACCATGCATAGAATATTTTAACAGTATTTTACCATTCCTTTCAGTTTATAATTTTATTTATTTTTTTTTTTTGCATTGGTTTTATTTTGAATTTCAAACCATAGTTCCGGTCACAGCGTAACCGTTACCAGGGAACGTCATCACGTAGCTACTAGCTGCGTCCTCTGTTTATGTGTCTTCGTGCCCTGTTGACTTTGTGTTTTCAGAATCAAAAGGTGTTTGTTTTCTTAAAACCCAGGCCGTCTGCTTTCTCTACAGCTCAGACCTGAACACATGCGAGTCTCCATTGAAGAGGAAAAAACCCTGTTACGGTACAGCCCGTGTCCGGCTTAGCTTCAGTTATGTCTGCCAACTGTCGTGTGTTTCCCGGAGTTTAGATACCGACTTTTAGCATTTTTATAATATAAATAACAAAATGTAATTGAATTATTCCACCCTGCTGTGACTATGATAACAACAGTTTAACGTCTGAAAACGCCAAGTGACGTGAGGTTAAAATGTGTGTTTTTAAGTTCTCTCAACTCTTCAAATCGTTTCTCTCAAAGCTGATTTTTCCCACAAATATCCCGAACCTGAAAGGCAGCAGTTTTTCAGCAAGATCCACAGAGCTCAATTCAGAAATACTTCTTT